GAGAACTTCTGTGAAACGTCCTCTCTTTTCAAGCAGCTACTTCAGGATGTGGCAGAGCAAACATGACTCATACAATAAACTACAATGAGGAAGGGAGGGGCACTTTTGAAAACGAAATCACTTTTATCTGGGGCCTGCAAAGGGCAAAGCTTTATCTGTTTATACATTCAGGAAAAAATTTAGCTTTCAGGCTCCATTTTTTTTGTCACAAAAAGGTAAGGTTGCCATCCTAGGTGTTTAAATGTAAGAGGGTTGGATTTTGTGTAACACATGTGTGTGTGCAGTAGACTGTTTGGGCGACCAGTGCTTTGCAAAATTGTAAGAGCTTTGAGGAAGACTTTTCAGCATAATTTTTGCAAAGAGGAAACGTATCCAGAAGGAAGTCCTTCATTTGAGCTTGGAATGGGGCTGGCAATAGAAGGACCCTGATCTCCACCGTAAGTCTATAAGCATGGGGTGATTTTTTTTTGTAAGTTTTGCTTGGAGATCTTCAAGATCTGGCTCCTCATATAGGGTATCATTCCTATGATTTCATATTTACAAACTTTCCTGGTTTTTCAGTGTGCTGAAATGCTGTGTAGAGTTCAACCTGTCTCTGTGTTTAATGTTTAACCACATGCTTCAGCAGAAGAGGTGAGGATTGAGGCATTAGTTTAGCAGGAAATATGTCCCTGCCTGGCAAAAGCTGATCTGACCTTCAAGTGCCCGATGGGAAACAAGGAAAAGGTCTTACGTGCCAGGCACTGTGAGCCAGATGCAGAAGGTGGGAACCCCAGCCTGGTTTGATCTGTGGGGCTTCTGTTTGTTTTTGAAAAGCCTTTGAAGTATTTCTGGTCCTAACCTTAGCAGACAAATAGAGATCAGGAAGGGTGGTGGCTAGGTTATAGCCAAGGCTAATGGATGAAGTGAATGGAAAGGGTAACATAGATCATGCCAAATGTGATATGGAAGTCACTGTCAGATCTTGTCTGTTGAGTCTGAGTTTGTCTAACAAAGTACAGCATGGTGGAGCTGCCCAGTTGGGAAACCGGCTGAGGATGAGGGGAGATGAAGATGCTCCCCACATCATTTAGCCTCAAGAGGAAGTTGTAGAGAAGGAGAGAGGTTTGTCCTGTCGGCTGCTCCTGCTGGTTGTCTTGGAGCTGCCAAGAAAGGGAGAGACTGGTGTGGGTTGGAGTTTGCTGTGATCCATCATGGGCTCTCATTGGAATCTCTGTAAGGAGAGTTGGAATAAGAGAATGCTAAAAGTTTGGATCTGCTAAAAGAGTGAGGTTATTGTCTGCCTATCCTGACCTTCTTGGAAGCATCTATAGGGTGTGGGAGGGGGGGAGGGGATTGTGAACAGGTTACTCATTGAATAAAAGACTTTTTTTAAAAAAAAGTCCAAACCCTAAAATATTTCTTTTTGTCTCTATATTTGTTGATATTTTTAGGCATGTGTGGTAGTGGGCGCCTCCACTGAAATCTTTAAATGATGCAGTATATAGGAGGTACCACAAGATCCAATTCAGCAATAAAAGAACACAATATAATATAATTTAGTATATATTCTAAAAGTGAAGTTAGTCATACAGTAGAGTGAAGTTAATCATACAGTAGAGTAGCAATGATTCCATTCACGCTACCAGAAATCCCACAATAGTCCAGTCTCAAAGGCCTTCTGGAACAGTCATAGTTGAGAGGCTATGAGAGTGGGTGCCTCTTGTTCTGCCATGAGATATGCTCTTACAGAGAATATCTGTTTTCAAGGCTCCCCCTCCCATTACAATTCATGAATGGTTGGGAGCTTTCTTAGGCATTTTCTGTGCTCTTGAATTGGGTAGGCAGCAAATTTCAAGAGCCTATTTCAGTTCTCAAACATCTATGTTATGTTTTGCAAGAACTAGTCAAGAATACTACTTTTTGGAAATATATAGAGTCAGGGTACAACAATTTCTTCATTAAAAATGTATGGCTGCAATCCCTCTATTTCTGAATGAGAACCTTTTCAAAAAAAGTCACTGTTTGAATTTGGTTTTATAGCTTCATTTGTTTAAGCTTCCAGGTAATTTTTGTTGCTTAATGATATATTCTTGCAGACAGAGGAGAGATGCCTTCTGGAATAAAGACTGACAATATGAGGACAACATTGTTGAATAGCTTTCTCAGTTGAAGGCCTGATTTATAATTAAGAATGTATTTCCTCTTTGGTCTTTTAAGTGAAGAGAAGAAAATGACTATTTTCAAAGAGATATTGGGATGAAAAATTAATCTTGAAATAAAAAACATTATTGACATGAATGGAAGACACCATTAAAGAAGGCAGAATTCAGAACTATCCAAAGCACTACATATTGGAGCCTCTAAATAAGACTCATAATGAACATTTTATGAAATATGCATGTTAGAGAAGTGGATTATTCTTCTTCTTCACTGAGTGCTATAGTGAGCAATGCATGTTGTCTTCAGTACTGCTATAGTTTGGAGAGCCTAAACTAGATGGCCTTACATTCAAATCAGAAAGACAGATGGACTATTTGCAATTCACAAATATTGCTAAATCCAAATATATTTACAATTTTCTTACCTTTACAATGGTCTTGCTCTACTTCTTTTTAATTTTCCTTTCAACATCTGTGTATTTGTCATTCTAATATACTAATAAAGGAGAATATTTGTAGCTCAGAACTGAAATGAGGGGACCTTGGTGCTCTCTGAACTTGCTTGCTTGTTTACTTGCAGATGTTTCATTACCCAAACTAAGTGACATCATCTGTGCTGTTGACCCAGGTGAACCTCCTGGTGGCCCACGGGGTGTCAAACTGGTGGTCCACAGACTGGATGCACCAAGTACAGGCCACGCCTACCCCTGGCTCAGTGAAGGCAAAGAAGTTGCGTTTGACACCCCTGCTCTAAAAGAATGCAAATGACCAGCTGTCTGCAAGGAATAAAAATGCTTCCATTCCCCACCATCTAGTCAGAGCTGAAGAATCTTCTTAGATGAGAAGTGAAATGTCTTCAAAGAAAAAGCAAGAACATCTAGTTGCCTCCTGAAAAAGCACCTTTGGGTTATAACCAGATACATCTTCATTCTGTGCCTCACTTCTTTTCCTTTACAGGTAGTCCTTAACTTATGACCATTTGCTCAATGCCCTTTTGAAATTGCAATGATACTGAATGACGTTACTCATACCTGACGTTATAACCATTGAAGCCCTCTGGGGTCACATAATCAAAATTTGGATTCTTGGCAGCCTGCATCGACTTGTGGTCACATTGGGGCCAGGGGAAGCTGCAACTTAACCTCCCATCTCCCACTCCTGTTTGTGTCTTTTTGGATCCTGTGATCTTGCCAGATGGCAAGCAAACTCAAAGCTTTATATTGCATATGTTGCAAAGAGCAGCAGGAGAAATTGGTTCCTAAAAGGAGTCAGACAAGCAGCAAAGGAGCCAAAGGGAGACCCTGGCTTAGTAAAACTTACTAAACCTGCTTTTTACTCCAGAAGAGGGAGCGAAAGTAGAGTTGACTAGGAAGGAAACTCATTGGTCTCAGTGGTGATGGTGTTTTGCAAAAGAAGGAAGCCACCCTTGTGGGCTGGGTCTCTGTCTTAATCCACTGGCATTCTTGCTAGGCTTTGGGGAAGCTATTCTCCTGAATGCATAGGCAGCAATTCTGAGACAAGCTCCCCAAAACTTTGCTGTACTCACACTGTTGACATTTTCTATAAAATATTAATTTCTCTAATTTTAATTTTAGGTCAAATATAATCTATCATAACTGACATGAACAACACTGTGAGAGAAGATCTTTTCAATGCATTGAATGACCTCCTTGAGAACCAATTTCAAGATTTTAAATGGTGGCTAAAGGATATTGACTACAATGGAAAGTCAAACATTCCTATAGCTCATTTGGAAAAGGCTAATCAGCGAGATGTTGTAGATCTCCTGATTCAGCATTATGGAGAAGATGCTCGACAGGTGTGCATTCATGTCCTTCAAAAAAGCAATATAAATGATGTTGCTAGAAAACTTGAGGAAATTTTACAGAAAGGTAAGAAAATTGAACATATTACAAAAAAGTTCTCCCATATAAGATCAACTAGAAATAAATACCAATTGTGGTTTGGGGAGTTGTCTCCACTGAATTGTGTCAACTAATTCATTGATGTTGACTACGATTGGCAGTGGGTCCCTGGGATTTCAGAGAGGAACTTTCCTTCTAGCCTGACTTTCCTTTTAATCTACGACCTGAAATCAAACCTATGGGAACTTCTATCACTCAATTTGGCACTTTCCTGTCACTGAAAAAACAAAAGAAAAGAGTTAAGCCAAGTTCAACCAAACAGTTCATTGATCTAAATTTAAAGGAGATTCTTAAAGGTTTTATTTATTTATCAATTTTTTAAAATGGTTCCTTTCCCTAAAAGATAGACTTGGTCTGGTATACAAGTAAAAAAAATATGAAAACATAAAAATCTGATCAATAAAATTTATAATTTAAAAAGGCAAGAATGTATTAAAGTTAATTAGAAGGCTTTCAGGGTGCTAACTCCCTCTATAGTGGCATGCTTTTCTGTGTGCCCCAAGGAAGGCCTCAGAGTCATGTTTTTATACTTTTCCAATAGGCCAGGGAAGGAGAGTCTGCTTCACCTTGGGGGAAAGTGTTCCACATGGAAGTAACAATGGCAGAGAAGGCATAATTTTTAACTGATGGAATCCACAACACATCTTACCTGAGAGGATGGGGTGTCCTGAATTAATGGGATTAAGATGGCTCTGAAGGTAGCTTGGCACCATCCATGTAGACCTTCAAATATATAAAGACTGGCATCCTATGAAACTCATGCAGCAAAGGTGTTATATGTGCTGTTCTTTGAGCAGCCAAGATTGCCTGTGAGGCCATACTTTGTACTGGTGAAGCAGCTACCCATTCAAGGGTAGCCCCATGTAGAGCCACATTGTTCAAATGGCAGATGACCAGGATGTGAGTGACCAAGTGGTGATCCTCCCCAAACCATGAAAGCTGCTATATATTCTTTGAGCAGGAGCTGTAATTATAGGAGGCCCTCCCCACTAGTCTAGATTCTCCAATCCTGGTGTCTTTAACGTAAGTAGTCCCACAAGTAGGCAGGGATCTTGTGGGTATGACCTGACCTGCGCAGCTCAGTCGTTGGTGTGCCTTCGGACTGTTCGGACGGACCTATTGTTTCCCCGGATTCTCTTGTGGGATCTCCTGGAAACTCTCGGTGGGTGCAGCCATCTTGTCCCCACTAGAGGTCACCCTCTCGCTGTTTTCTCTGCCCTGCTCTTTCCTGGCTTTGCTGACCCATTGCAGGACTGCCAGTATGTGATCACACTCCCTATTCAGGCTTGATATTAATTGTTGAGGATTTGCCTCGTTATTTGTCAGGGCCCGATCTCTTTGTATTTTTGTTTGGGAGTTCTCCCTTTCCCTTTTGGGGGTACATGGCATTTCTGGTGTCCCTTGTATTTGTCTCCCCCAGAGTTGATTGATGTGCCTCCTCCAGTTCTGGCCATCATTTGTTTCGACCAATTAGGATTGGGGGTGTGTTATTTGAATTACTTTGGCCAGTATCCATAGTGGTTTGCCTGTTAGGTTTTTTGTGTATACTGGATCATCCTCCTGGAATGTCCGGCATCTGGGTTGTCAGCATTGTATTGGGGGTGTAGTCTGTCTAACTGTGACCTTAGTTTCCTTCCCCATCAATAGTTCAGCAAGACTTTTGTTAATTGTTGCGCTGGGAGTTATATGTTGGATGCTTAATAGTTTGTCTATTTTGACTTGGGTGTCCTCTGGTTGCAACCTGGTTAATGTTTCCTTCATTGATCGAACCATTTTCTCTGCTTGGCCATTCATTGAGGGGTGCCCCAGGGCAGGTGGGGCATGTCTTACCCTGTGTGTTGCCAGGAACTCCTCGAATTGGGAGTACGTGTCCACCATGACCAGGAATGTGTATCCCTTTACTGGCCCTGCAAAGTCTGACCATGGTCCCCGCAGGGTTTTCCATTCGTGGATGGGTGCTGTGGGGGGTGTGGGTCAGAAGTCTTGGCATGCCTTGCAGGTTGCCACCCAGGTTGATGTCATCCACTGTCTCTGTCTCTGGCCACCCCCTCAGCACCCACTTCAAGATTCGTGCCAGGGTTTTGCCCTTTGCACTCACTCTCGCGAGACTGTGGCTGTCACTGGGGCAGTTTTGAGTGTCTCTATTAGGAGCGTTGATGTGGATGGTGCCGGATCCTCACCGAGGTCTGGTAGGGGGCATTGACTGAGTGCATCGTCATGGTCTATCTTCTTCCCAGGTCTGTGTATCAGATCGTAGTCGTATGCTGTGAGGAAATCTGTCCATCTTGTCTATTGGGGTGACAGAATATTCGGTGTAGCTCGGTTTCCCATGATTATTCCCAGCAGTGGCTTGTGGTTTGTGACCAAGGTGAATTTCCTCCCATAAATGTATACATAGAATTCCTGTTACTGCAGCCAATGCTTCTTTATCAAGCTGGCGATAATTTCATTCAGTCTTTGACAGCGTTTTCGAACAAAAGGCTATGGGGGCTTCTTTTCTGTCCTGAAGTGTGTGGCTGATTATTGTGCCTATCCCAAATGGTGATGCATCGCATGTCAGGATTAGTGGTAGTGTATCACTGTATTGTATCAATTCGCTGTCTGATGTTAGGATGTTCTTTATGCCCTTAAACGCCATTTCCTCCTTCTGCACCCAGGTCCAGGCTGCTTTCTTGTCAAGCGGTCTGTGTAAAGGTTCTGCAATTGTTGCTTTCTGTGGTAAAAATATATTATAGAAGTTAAGAAGTCCCAAGAAAGCTTGTAGATCTGTTTTATTTTTCAGCCTGGGGGCTTTTTTAGTTCCCTTGAGTTTGCTTTCAGTGGGGTGTATTCCTGTGCTGTCTATTTGGTATTCTAGGAACTCCACCCTGCTTGTTGCTAGTTGGCATTTTTCTTTTTTGACTTTTAGCCCCACCTCCTAGAAATGGCTTAACACAGCCCTTAGATGTTTTTGTAGTTGGCCTTTGTCCTTGGCTGATATCAGGACATTGCTGAAGTAGGGCACAACATCCTCTAGTGCCTGTAGGAGGTGTTCCATTAGGCTCTGGAATAGCCCAGGAGCTACGCTGACCCCAAACTGTAAGCGTTTACATTTGAATGCCCCCCTATACATGATGATTGTTTGGGCTTCTTCTGTCTCTTTGTCTACCAGTAATTGTTGGTAGGCTTGAGCGAGGTTGAGCTTTGCAAATATTTTCCCCCATCCCAGAGAATGTAAAAGGTGTTGCACCACTTGGACAGGGTATGCACTTTGCTGTAGGGCATGGTTCAGGGTTGCCTTATAGTCAGCATAGATGCGCACTGACCCATCTGGTTTGATGGGTGTAACTATGGGGGTCTCCCATTTTGTGTGGTTGGTAGGTTCCAAAATTCCCTGGGCAATGAGCTTATCTAACTGCTTGTCAATTTTTGGTCGCGGTGCAATTTTTTCGTCTCAGCTTAATTCTGATCGGGGCAATAGTGGGCTTTAGATTAAATGAAATAGGGGTCCCTGAGAACTTGCCAAATTATCCATTGAACACGTCCCAGAACTCCTCCATCAAGCTGTCTTCCCACTCAGTCTTAGTGAGGCTGTTTATTCCGGTGACCTCAATGCCCAAAGGTTGGAACCATTCTAGCCCGAGCAGGCTCGGTCTGTTTCTGTCCATTATCGTCAATGGTAGGTAGCTGGAGAATTTTTAAAATTGTATTTGGAACTCGCTGATCCCTATCACAGGGATCCCGTTTCCTTGGTAGTCTCTCAGGGTTAGCCTCTGTTGTTTAATCTTGGCTTTGATTGTGCTGGGGCTCAGCTGTTTGATGGTGTCCCAGGAGACCATCAATAGGTAAGACCCAGAATGCACTTCCATCTGGCATGGTTTCCCCTCTATCTTTACTTGGACATGCATCTTTCTTGCATTAGTTGTGCTAGAGTGGCCCACAGTCACTGTTTGTTGCATCTCGCCTCTCTCTGTAGTCGTCTCATTGTATCTTCGGTTCTGGCCAAAAGGGCTTCACCTATTCGCTGGTTGGCTCACTCTGCTTTGGGGAGGGAGTACCTAGCCTCTGTTGATGGCTGTTTGGCTGGGCTGCCCTGCAGGCTTTTGTGATGTGCCCCCTTTGGTCATATCTTTGGCAGATTGCGTCATGGAAATGGCATTCTGACCTGGAGTGATTCCCCTCACCCCCAGAACACCAAAAGTTTTCCCTTCCCTTGTCATGGTTCTTGGATGTTCGTTCTGATCGGAGCTGATGTATTTCTTCATTGTTGTCATCCAGCTCGGAGTCTGATTCAATGTCCTAATGGTGTATGGCGGCCATCTCTCTTTGTGGCAGCAGCTTATTTATCTTTTTCATAGTAGTGGCCAATGTTGCGATGCTTCTGTTGCAGGGGCTTCTTCCAGGGCCTCCTTGAAGGTTATCTTAGGTTTTGCCAATAGTCAGTTCTGGAGGTTTAGGTTTCAGAGTCCTAGGACCAGGCGATCCCTCATTGTCTCGTCCACATTTAGGAACTCGCAGGTGGCAATTTCTCGCAGAGTTGCTACAAAGTCTCTGATGGTTTCTCCTTCCTTCTGGTCACACCAGTAGAATTCATGTCACCTCACTAAACACGATGCTTGTGGCATGTAGTGGGCTCTTAGGATCCTTTACAGATCTGGCCAAGCCATAGTCTTCAATTCATTGGATGACAAAAATGCCTTGGCCATTTTGAAAACTGCGGATACACAGTGTGTGAGGAAGATGGCTCATTTCCTCTGCTACAATATGTGGAGGAGGTTGTTCCCCTCCAGGAACATGTAGAATCAGTCGATGCATGATTCCCAGTCTTCTGTTGCCAGATTGAAAGGCGCCTTTGGGAATGTTGGATCCCAACATTGTTCCGGTTGCTGTTCAAGAGTAATGGCGGCCAGTTGCCATGTGGCTTCAGGTTGATCTGGTCCTTTGTTGCTTCAGGATCCCACCTTTATTGCCAGTGTTGGATCATGGGTTGAGTGAAGACCCAGGACACTCAGATCAGTAAAACTCTATTTTGTATCAGCAGAAACTGAAGAAGCCCGGTGGTTTAAGCACTTTTTACAGTGGAATTTTCAGCGGCTTCAGCCAGTGACAGATGTTTGTTTTCCCACTTCCATGGTTCAACCAATCACAGGTAAATATGTAAATATCTAACAATGAATGCATTGTGTCCATCCTATTCCAGCAAATGTCATCCATCACTATGACAATGCTGTTTATGTATGTGGGCTTCAAACCTGTGTGAAAAG